GGCGCCCCCCTCCACCCCCGGGGTCCCCCAGCCCGGGGCAGGTCGCCCGGCGGCGCCGTGGGTCGCCCCATCCCTGGAGCACGCAGGACCTCCCGCCGCCAGGGGGCGCTGCCGCCCCGCCGCCATACCCCGGAAGCGCCCGTTGCCCTGGAAACGGGACGCGGCGGTACTCGACTAGGCCCGGCCGCCTCCTCCGGGGCTGGGCGGGGAGAGGAGGCCTTGCCCTTTCCTCTGCTGTGCCCGGCCCGCTCCTCCGGCGGCAGGGCTTCATCCTAGAGGTGTCCCCCGGGCCCCCGGTGCCGCCCCAGGAGGGGCCGTGCAGGCCCCGGGCCCCTGGACCTGCTGTGGCCTCCAGGCCTGTGGGCCCACCGGCTGTACGGTGGTCGGTTGGCCACCCAGGGGGGTGTCTGCTTCACCCAGGAGCTGGTGCTGGAAGCCAGATGGAGCCAGCCTGTGCCTTAACACCGTGCTGGGCCTGGCTGAAGCCTCCTGAAAAGGCGTGAAGGTGGTGGCTACTCCCACTGCTCCCCTCTGGGCTCGCCGTGAGGACACCTCACCAGCGGAGTGAGGTGTTTGTCCCTGCCAAGGGCTGGCGGGTCTGGATGGTGCTGGGGGAGAGGTGAAAATAAGCAGCAGGTATCAATGTGGTGGGCTGAGCGCTGGAAATCTCCAACCGTTTTCTTCTCGAGCTGCTGTGGATTTGGGGAGTGTTTTCACATCTTAGAGCTGCGTCCTGGGTGAGAGTTTCATACCTCAGAGGTTGGTGGCCATCCAGCCACCACGTCAGCTGTGCTACAAGTGTCCTTGACAAGGAGAGGGAGAGAAAAACTCAGTACAGGGTTGGCATTTTGGCTTTTAGTGGCGTTAACATAACATAAACTTGTTGTTTGTTTTTGCTCAGGAGGGGTGATTGAGATTTTGGGGCACCCTAAAGCCTCATTCCTCTGCCCAACATTGCTGTTTGTGGAGTCCTCCAGGACAAATTTTGGTTTGTATTTCCAAACCACAGGAAAAGTAGTTACTGTCATTTCTGGTGCTGGTGCAGCACCTGCCACAAAGGTGGTTCTGCCAGGGTCTCCCAGGCACTGCAGGAGCACAAATACTACTGTCTATCTGTATGTTAATTATTCTTCTTTTGCTGTCTGCTGGGTGAAACGGGTACCCCCACAGCTCGGGGAGCACCCAGCTTTGCTGGCATGGTGGGGTGGGCTGTTTGCCCTCCTGAATCGCGTGTCGTGGGGTCTGGGTGCACTGCTGCTGGGGCCGGGGCTGTCTGGGGCAGTGGTGTGAGCCAGTCTGCGCACGTTCCTGGGCCAGCATGGGCTGTGACTGCCTGTCCTCGGGGACCCATGGGGGGCTGAGAGCCGGCATGCAGCTGGGGAGCGGAGCTGTGGCTCAGCTCTTTCATGGGTTGGAGCACCCACTGGAGACTTCCAAGCCCCCTGGTGCCGTGGGCGGTGTGTGAATTTGGCTTTCTGCTCGGCAGTGGGTGTGAAGAGACTGTGAATTCTCATCAGTGCTTTCATTACCTTAATAAAATTACTTCAGGTCTGCTAAGTTCTTTTGCAGAAAAATAAGACATAATTGCATGTTTCGTTAGCTTCTCCTTCCCCTGAGCCCCAAAAAGAGCTCATCCCCTGGGTCTCGCTTCCATGGCCGTTTGTAAAATCCATGTTGACTACAGGATCTTCTCCAAGAGCCCAGACCAGGTGAGGAGCTGATAAACCCTGCTCGGCACGCAGCTGCTATCAGGATGTCCCCTCTCCCTCTTTCATCCTCGGCTTTGACAGATACTAAGAAGTTATTCTGAGCTATGGTCTTTTTGAATGTTACATTGTCAAAGCTTTTCTGTAAGAGACAAGTTCTTACCTAAACTCATCCACTCTACAAAAATAGCAGTGATAATGAGCCCAAAATGAGGCGATTAAGAACTGGCATTTGTTTTACCCCATGGCTGCCGTTCACCAAGGTCTGTCAGCGTTATCCACCATGCCTTACGCTCTCCGTTACCCTCGCTCTTACATTGGCATCTCTGTTCAGGTACACGCTTGGGACTTGTCCTGTTCAGGCCTGGGTGGTGGCAGTTTGGGGTCAGCAGCAGCGCGTAGACCAGAATTAGCAGTCTGGGCTAATCCGAGGTTTTTTTCAGCGCATACTTTGCTTTGAAACTTGTATTTTTCCACATAGCATCTCTGATGCAAAGTGATAAACTGGGGAAGGTCTTTGCTGTCACCAGCTGTAGCTTGGTCAGAGCTCAAAGACCCTACTACCCTTTGGATGGCTCATTGACGCAGCAGATACAAGGACTGTAGAGATCAAGAGAAAATTGCCTGGAAGGAAGTTGATGTTAGATGCTACTGGATGGTCTTGGAGCAGGTGGTTGGATTCATGGAATAATTAACGGGTTAATCAGATCTTAAATTCTCTAAAGATCCCTGCAATAGAGATGGAGGCCATCCCTATAGCTGAGTTTTGGGAATGGTCCAAATTAATGGTCCAATAGAAATGGAGTGGTACCTCCTAGCTGGCAACATTGCTGCACTGGGGGTGTCTGTTAAGCTTCTTGTCTCGGTATCTGCTGTGCACTGTCTTAGGAATACAGAAACCTCCTGACAAGTGTCACTTCTTTTCCTGGGGTGGCTGTAATAATCGCGTCCACCTTAAGGTGGATCAAGGTAGATGCCACACCTGCTGGTAACCAAAGTTGTTAGCAACGTCGCTTGTGCCCTACCTTGTGCCTACAAGGGAAAAGTTGCTGCTGTAGAGACCCTTAGATCCTTCCTTCACTCTTCAGCCACTGCCTGCCTGATAGTGTGCAAAGATCCTGGGCTCCGGGCACATGGATTTTGCAGAGAATGAGAACGTAAGTACTCTGACAGAGCACATGCAGCATACTGGCAACAAAAATATAAGTATGAAGGTCCATAGCCCCTTCCCGGGTCATGGAACCAGTGCTCTGCAAATGAAATCCTAGTTGCAGTCGGTTCAAGCTCTGAAAAACTGGCTACGCTGTGCTCTTCCACCAGCACTGCGGTGGGAGAATAGCACGGGGGAGAGGAGGGCTCTGCTGGCTGGCACCAGCTGTCGGAGCTGTTGTGTGTCTCTAGGTGCAGCTGCAGGATAGGAATGAGAGGCTGTACGGGCTCGGAGACCTGCAGGAGAGGATGGAGAAGCTGTCTGGCTCCAAACCAGATGTGTCCACCAGAATGGTCTACAGTGAAGAGGAAAAACTGAAGGTAAAACAAATACTTTAGGAGTTGGAGAGAACTGAGCTGTGATGGCGTGTGGGGCCAGTAGATCTGCAGTGGAAAATCTGGTGGGAAACGTTGGGGCCTCTTTCTAGAGGGGTATGTGTTGTGCTCGCATTCCCCGCTGTATCCTGTTGAAACAGTATGTTGGCCTCAGAGTCAGTCCATGGCCTTTAATAACGTCCTTTCTCTCTCCTAGATTTCCAAAGACCTCGTTGATCTCCAGATTGAGACAAACAAAATGAAGGAGCAGTATGAGATGGAGAACTTCGAATTGAAAAATATGGTATCCAAAAGTGTGAAGTCAAGTTGATTCAGCTCTCCCAATACCTTTATCCAGAACTGCAGTTCATTACACATCCATCTTTGCTTTGCTTGATATATTCTCCTGGCTTTAGCTAGAGCAGTGAATCCCCCCCTGACACCCCAGATACCGTGAAACTCACGTGAAACTCATCCATCACTAAGTCATGGCATAACAGAACATGTTTGGCCAAATAAATGCCCTGTGATTGCTGCTGGTCTCTGCCACAGTCTAATTCCACTGCCTCCCCTCTGCAGATCCTGGCCCTGGAGAATCGTGTGCAGGAGCTGGAGCTCTGCAGTGAGAAAGTCACCGGGGAGCGGGATGCCTTACGGGAACGCCTGCACGCTCTGGAGACCAGTCGGAAGGAACTGGCGGATGAGTACATCATTTTGAAAAGCAATTACCTGGCCCTAGGCAAAGAACTGGACCGGGAGGTGAGAGAGGCTGCAGAGTTGGCCCTGTTGTTCATGACTCCATCTCACATTTACCTGATCTACAGCCAGCTTGGTTGCCTTTGGGTTGCATATCCACGTCACAGCTCAGGTCTGATAAGGTTTTGTCAGCCATGAGACGGCGTAGCTCAGGCATGGTTTTGTTTTCAAGGCCCAGGGATTTCATGTGACGTGGTCACCTTCTAGTAGGGCTTGCAGAACCGGCTCTGCTCAGCACTGAGCCCACGCTGACCCGTGCGCCGTGCTCTTCTGGGCACCCCGCTGTCAAGAGTCTTTCTCTTTTCACGCCACCCCTCATCCCCATCGCTAGCAGTAACGAGGAGGTCACTGCGGGGCTGGTCTGAGTGCACGTTGCAGGTCCCTCTTGACTGCCAGCACGCTTTGTTTCCCTTTTTTTCTGCATGGCTTGAGCAGGCTGCACGTGAACTGATTGTAGTCGCTCTCATTTCATATGGCAGCGGGAAGGGGCCTGGAAGTTTTTGAGGTTGGCGAGTTTATAAAAACACCGAATGTAAGCAAGTTTCTGATTGTTCCTTAAAATATAGTGAATTTCCTGGTGACTGTTAGCTTAGCGATGGTTAACTAAAGTATTTTGGACCCAGATTTGTGTATTTCTTTGGCAAGAATAGCTATTTCAATAGACCTTCCTCTCTTCCCTCCCTCTCCCCCCTCCCACTTCTCCTTCTTTTTGAATTGAGTTGGATGACTGACACCCTCCTGCTTCCCTCCCCCGGCAGATAGCTCAGCTGGTTCAGCCAAATGACCTGGTTTACCATACTGGCCCTGTGCAGAGCTGTGGTGGGAAGATGTGGGGCTGGGACCAGGCATGCTGGTTTGGGCAGCGTCCAGTCTCTCTTCACAGCGAGCATCTGTCTGTAGAGCTCTGGTAGAGGAATATACGAGATCATGGTCATCCCGTTGCAAATAAGTGAGTTAGTGACTCTTGCTAAGCTGTCATTTGTTTCCCGTAAGCTGAGGAATGGAAATTTCTTACGAGGAGGCAAGCTCAGCTGCTTGCAGGGGTGTGAACCCACCCCGTCGTCCTGCCGGAGCACGAGGCAGAACGCGTGCAGCTGACTGTCAGCAAGGCAGCGCGCTGCTGAGACACAGTACCGCCGGGCTGCGGAGGAATAGCTTGGCGTTCAGCAATCTTGGTTGCTTCTTGTCCCCAAGGGGGTGCAATATGTTAGGCAAAAAAATGGGATGTTCAGGTGGCTGACATCTCTAAATGATGGGTTGAACAGGTTGGTGGTAATAACACCCTGTTTTCACGTGGGTCCTGGAATATTTCCGAGAGTGAAAGCACAGGGATTCAGCTCTGTGCCTGGATGGCATCCTGAAGAAGCAGTGGAGGAAGGTCCAGAAGCCAAAACTCCTTGGTTGTAATTCATTTAGGCTGAGGATTTTACCCCAGTTTCTTGGCTCTGACTACCAAATATCCCTGCCTGAAGCAAAAGAGGCTCCAAATTGGCAGGCTGGGACTTGTCAAGGCATGGGCCTCTTGCTCATTATTTTCCCAGTGCGGACTTTCCCAAAGGAAATGGGAAAAGCAGCCTGCGGTTCTGCCCCCTCCCCTTCCCTGGCGCTTTTCTGGGGAGACAATGAACCTTTTACACATTCCCAATTACAAGTGCTACTTGTGACCTTGCCAATATGTTGTCATGGCTGCTTGGCGCAGAAGCAGCTCGGCGAGCTCATTCACCGTCCCTTGTACGGGAACAGTTAGAGCCTCTGAATTGTCGCGGCCCCCATTGTACGGCTCGATTCACACATCGCCCTGTGTCTGTCTCAGGCGAAGGAGCGCGGCGGAGTTGGCCTTGCCTGTCCCTGGGGAAGTGCCTTCCAGAAGATGCCAGTCAGACACTTTGTGCCTGTTTTCTAACTCGCTGTAAATTCTTCCTTTTCAAGACGCTGACCTTTTCTCAACTCTCCGTTTCCTCCTCCTCCTTTGTTCGGCGGGCTTATGCCCGTCTGCAGCGGCGGTATGAAGTGAGGCTGTCAGAGGGAACCCAAACGGCTGCGAACCCCGGTTCCGCGCTGGGGTTTTCCCTTGGAGCCGGGCCAGGCTTGGGAGCACAGGGGAGGCAGCGAACCCCATCGCAAACCTGGGACTGCCTCTTTCTTTGGCTATGCTGGTACTTCTGCGCTTGTGTGACCCCCTCTGATCAAATTGTCAGGGCTGACAGCTGCAGATGGATGGTTTTCGGTTGGAGAACAAGCAGCCTGTCTCTGCGTAGCTGTCAGTTTTCACAGCTGTATATCTCACCTCTTTGTCAGCCTCTTTTCTCCTCTCCTCTCTCCCTCAGCCCACCCTGTGCTATCTTTTGATAAGCTATTCTCTCCACGGATGACTCAGATGACCTCTGCCTCCCATCCTCCCGATTCACTGCCATGGTAACAATTACTCAAGCTTGTCCCCAGTCATAAATCCCATCAAAGCTTTGTTATCTACATAGAAACCCTCCCGTGAGACATGAATTCCCCCAGTGTTCCTTCCAGATCACCTGTAACAGAGCCTTTCTCATTCAGATCCTCTTTATCTTTTGGAAATGTGTCACTTCACACCAGCACCCGCTTTTGAATCTCGCTGCCTACACCGTGCTGTGGGCTGGCTGCTGCTGGAGGGATGCATTCAAACAAAACTGGAATTAGCTGGGTGGCATCAGCCTAGACGGATGGAGACTTGGCCCTTCTCTTACATCGTGGAGCCCAGCACTGTTCAAAGCCGTCGCGTGGGGAAAGCCATGCCCGGAGGGTTTGGGAAGCTGTGGGGAGTGGGACAGGGTTAGCGTGAGGAGGGAGGCTGGAGGTCAGGACGCGGTGGCAGAGCTGTGCCCAGGGCTGGGCTGGCACCGGGATCTGTATCTGAATGTGAGAACAAGATGGGCAGCGGGAGTAAGGTTACCTGTGAATAATCCTAATGCCTGGTGATGATACTTGCCCCACATTCCCCTGAGAATTCAAAAATCACTGATATCTTTGGACATATGAGAGACAACTAAAAATAAATCTTGCTTTCAGGAGGGGATGTGAGTGCCTGCTTCGTGTACGCACCAAGAGCGGCCGGTAGGTGCTGAACACGTGGAGCCGGAGAGGCAGGATTTCACAAGCTCTTTTCTTCTTGTTTGACCTGGCAGGTCGTGAAGAACGAAGAGCTCGGCCTAGAGCTGCTCAGCCTGGCCAATGCCAGGGGCACCCTTCCCCGCACAGAGAGCAACCGTGCCCCCGCCACGGCTGATGAATCCTCTGCTGAGCTGGAAAGAGAGCGAGCAATGGGGCGCCGTCTCTCGGCTCAGAAGGTGAAGGTAAGGACCTCTCTGCCCTGTCACTGCCCCTTGGAGAAAAGGAATCTAACGGGCATCTTCTTCTGTCTCTTACTAGCCAGAAGATGTAGTTGCCTCTGAACATGAGCGGCAAAAGCCAGAGAGAAACGTGAGTGTGTGTGGGTCTGCTCCTGGATTCTTGGGGAAGCAGAGGGGGGAATTTATTCCGAGTGTGGCTGGCACCTCCTGGTGCTAACTTGAATTTTGTGGATGAGCTGATGCCTTGGTTTATTTTAAATTTTTTTTAAGCTGTGCTGTTGAAAAAATGAGACTAGAGTAACTCTAGCTCTTGCGCAGGCAAAAGGTGAGAGAGGGCAGCTGTGAGTGCCCCTCGGTGAACAGAGGCAGGAGTTTAAAAGCCAACAAGTGCAGAGGGCGCGTGTTTATTTTCTTCTTGCCGATACTCGAGAAAGATGGGGGCGATAAAGCACCCGAAACTGAGAGCACGGAGATGCTCCCTGCCTTCTTCCCATCTGCAGCCTGTGCAATACCAACTTGGGCTCCGCCACCAGCTCCCACCGGGAATCTGAGTCTCAGAGCGAGACTCTCCCGTGGGGGAACAACACGTGTGCGCTTCCATGTGCCCTGTTGTCTCCAGAGCACACCCTGCTTCTGCTGTGCTCCAGGGCAGTGGTCTCTCCCAGTTAAACCTCTCCTTTCCCCAGTATGTCACTGCTCAGCTGGACTTGCACTCAGCTTGGAGGCTCTCCTCACTTCTTCCTTGTTCACCGGTCCCTCTACTTAGCTCAGCCCTCTGTCTCATCTTCCTCTTCGTTTGTCCCTCAGTTGCTTGGAAACCAGGATCACATAAAAGTGGAGCTTGAAAAACTGAAGAAAACCTATGATTCGCAGCAGCAGAATCTGGAAGAGAGAGTGTGAGTGTTTGAGGGCACAGCCTTCTGTTTGGCTGGGCATTTATGGAGCTCGTTGCAGCTGAATTTGAACCTTGGGCACAGGAGAGGAGGCAGCCCGCCTTTGGTGGGGTACAGGGTGGGAAATGACAATTGACCCTTGGAAGAAGTGAGGCCTGGAAGCAAAACCTGATGTTTTTGAGGCTCTTAAGAGGGTCAGCCGTCTGCTTAAAAGTGTTTAGGTACTGGATTGGCCTATGCATTTCTGAAAATCCACCTTCAGTGACACACTGGCAGTGTGACGGCCCAGAGATGAATCCAGCGCTAGACCTTACCCCCACAGTGGTTCTTCCATCAACAGGCTGGGATGGGGCTGGTGTCCTGGCAAGGGCTGACGCTGGAGAACTAGACCCTCTGACTGGGGAGGACATTCACCTTTGGCTGCGAGAGCTCTGTGGCCGCTGGTTGGCATACAGCTGATGGGGGTTGGCATCCCATGGTGATTTCCTTCTCAAAGCTGGCCTGTATTGAATGTACTGAGAAGTTTGGGGGGTTAAAATAAAAACACACCTTCTTCGTGCGTGCCCAGGATTGCGATGGGGAAGGAGCTGCAGGAGGCGAAGGGAGCGATCGGGGACACCCAGCGCAAGCTGGCGGAGCAGTCAGCGGTAAGGGCAGGCTCCCTTCCAGCACCCACGACCGCCCCTGCTCACCCGCTCCTCCTGGGTGCCATGTGCTTCTCCTAGACCTAGGGGGATGGAAATCTTGTACTGAGGTATTCTGACATGTCTCCCTCTCCAGAGAGTTTGTCATACCAAGGTGTTCCTCCCTGCGCAGTTTCCTTCTCCAGGGATGCGATGCACGTGGTGGAAGGTGCTGCTTGCCACAGGTGGTGGGAGGAATTTTATTCACAGATATTTAGAAAGAGTTGGTGAGATCACCGGGTGGGGGGAATTGTAAATGACAGAAGGTAGCAGGGGAATAAAGACTATAAACATTTCCATTGGGGTCCTGGGAAAACCCAGGCCCTTCCCAGCTCTGGTGAAGCTGAATATCTGGAAATGAAGGCCCCTGTCTCTTACGGAGCTTCTTCGTGCCCCTTGCTTGACCAGGGGATGAGGGCAGGAGCGAGCATGTTTGCTGTGCCTAGGTGCTGCTCACCTCCCAGAGCCAACTCCAAGAGGTGGAGGCGGAGAACTCCCGGCTGCAGCTCCGGCTGAAGCAGCTGAACGAGGAATATCGCTCCCGGCTCACGCAGTACATCAAGGACGTGGCGGTGGGTACCCCCAGCCCCAGGAGCTCTCCTGGCCTTGGGAGGTCTCTCCATGCTGCTGTTTCCCCTCCTTGCTGGGCTGCCGAGCGGAGCAGGCAGTGGGGCTTGGGAAGCCATGCTTGCAGCTGGAAGGGGGGCTCGGTGCCCTTGGCTTGGCATGGGGTTGGAGATGCCAGCCCCCCTCCTCACCCAGATTTCCTGCACGGCCACACGAAAGGGTCTGTGAGTTTCTGCTGGGCCTTTTCTTGGTCAGATTACTTGGATTGAAAGATCTTATTTACAATGGCTGCCTTCCAGTTGGCTTCTAATCGCCATTGCCCTGACAACGTCCCATGGCAAGCCAGGCGATGCCACTTCTGGCTTTGTCGCCGCTTCCATGGTGACTCTGCTGCTGTCCCCACAGGGAGCTCTGCCAGCTTCCATGGTCGGCTACAGAGCTGTGTAACGCCAGTGCCTGGAACCTGCTCTGGGAAGAAGCACCTTCGATGTAGAGTAGGTCCCCCAGCGCATGGTGAGGACTCGGCACAAGGCAGGCGTTTCAGGCAGGTTCAGGCATAGATACCTGATTATATTGACCAGTGAGACTGGGAAGAAATCTCTTTATACCCTCCTAGGTAGCAATAAACAGGTTTTGGCACGAGCTTCTGTGTCAGGAGAAGGCACCACAGTGCGTAGTGATGGATCAGGAGACTAATCAAATCAAGTTTTACTATTAAGAATAGTTGAATTTCTAACAAAGCGATCTTGAAGCATCTCCTGGCTAGCAGAGAGAGCAAGGCATGGTGGAAAGAATATGGGACTGGAGATGGTAACTCTCGACGCCAACTCGTGCTTCCCTAGGCGGGTCACTGAAGCAGTACTGATGCCTTCTCTGTCTTCAAGGGCCATGATGGAAGTTAGTCTTTCCTGCTCTTAGAAAACAGAAGATGTGCCCTATTCTCTGTGCTGGTGGCACAAACATGTCTGGACCTTCTCTGTGGGAAATGGGTTTCGTGCCTTAGGGAACAAATTGATCACCTCGATTTCTTTCTCTGTATGTTTAAAGGAGTACATGGACAGCAAATCCAGCAATGTGACGGGGCCTAGCAAAGCCCCAGCTGATCATGCTCACATGAAACGCTTTGTGGACAACATGCTGAAGGATATCAGAGCTTCCTACAAGACGCGGGAAGAGCAGCTAGCTGGAGCGGCACGCAGCTACAAGAAACGCATGAAGAACTTGGTCATGAAGCATGAGAACCTGCTGATCGCTTACGGGTAGGGATAAGCCAGGGTCTGGGCTACCTCTGTCTCTTCAGCTTATTGCTAAGGACCAACTGGAAGTGCCCCATAGCACCCAGCCCCTTTGCCGACAGGGAGGCAAACAAGGCTCCAGGTGGAGCAGAGGATCTGGAGGGCACGTTTACCTCCAAGCCAGGAGGAAGGTGTCTCCAGCTACACATGAGGGTGCTCTGGACACCCGGGAGCTGCTTGGCACATACGTTTCTCCAGTGTAAAATTTAGGTCGAGAGATTGATTCCACGTTGGGTGGTGTGGAAATGCAGAGGTACCACAAATAACTCCTGCCTCCCAGCCGGTCTCTGCGATGTTCTCAGCTCTGCTCCACAGCTCGCTCAGCAGCTTGGGCTGTGGGAAGCAGCAGAAATTCTCGTGGCATAAAAGCCACAAATAGCTCTAGGACAAGCTCCCTTCAGAAACGCTCCTAGGAATATTGTGCATACTGCAGGGCTCTCCCACTTATCCTTTGCAGGTGGACTGGCTCTCGGTGGCCAGAAGCCAGCAGGTCCCAAGCGAATTGTACCTCCATCATCAGCAGCAAAATGTTGAGTGCTGTTACCTAACCAAAGCTACCAGGGACTAACCCCTCTGGCACATTACAGGCTCCAGCGAGAGCAGATCCGGTCCTTGGGCAGCAGCACTACAGATTGTGGCCCTGCCGAGCTCCACTTTTCCATCACAGACCCAGAGCTGCTGACAAACACAACCCGGGAGCTAAACCGGCTGCGGGAGGAGAAAGCGAAACTGGAGATGCAGCTACGTGAATTGCAGAAGGTGGTGGCTGGACTGCTGGCTTTCTGTGGGGGTGAAACTGGGGGGGTGGTGGGGAGAGTCTCACGAGCGATAGATTCGGTCCCTTCCTGTTGGCATTCCCTGGGGGTTTGCCGTGTCTGCTTGCTCGCTTTCTCATTTTGGGGAAGAGATGGGGTGTCCAACCAGTCCCCTCGTTGCTTCAAGCCTGTTGCGTAGGGGTGAGTTACAGTTAGATGCAGGAGGCTGAGCAGCCCCATAGATTGGGGTGACGGAGCTCTGGGAGGGCTGAGGAGCAGCAGATGTTAGGGGAGAGCTGCCAGGCCAGCAGACTCGCTCACTGCTAAAAAAATAGGTGAGTAGGGGAGGATAGGATGGAGTTTTCTGTTCTTAAATGCCTTTGCCTCAGCGTGAATAGCTAAATGAGCAGGAGACCACGGTCAGAAACACACCATTTGGCCCCACGTCCTCCCACTGGTTCTGCCTGGGCAGAGACGTGTCTCTTGACGTGCGTGAGATAAGTTTGTTTAAAAATTAAAAGGATGAGAGACCTAAACCTTAAGATGGTGCTGCACATCGCTTCCTTGCCAGGGCGCTGGTGGCTGTTAGAGTGCTAGGATATGTTGTGCCGCTTCGAAGCGGCAGGGAGAATTGCAATGGTGTAATGCTTACAGGAACGCTGTTCTCCCTTTGCCTTCAGAACAGACTGCAAGAAACCTCTGCCTTTCCGCTGTCTCCTGAGCAGTAAGTGCTGTTTGTTTCTCAGGATATTTGTAATTGTGAATTCTCCTTGCTGGGTGGGTTGAGGAGTCTTTTCTGCTTTACTTGGAGATGGTAATAAACAGGGAGAAAGCGAGCTGATGAGGACTCACCTGAGAAGAAAAGCCAGCTGTCGGCTCCGTGCAGCGTTTCCTGCCGTGAAATGAGTTGGTCATTTGGGCCTTGATCCACGAAAGCTCTTAAGCACGTGTTTGATTTAATCGTGTTTTTAGTCCCACTGAAGTTAAGCATACGCCCGAGTGCTTTAGTGGGTCACAACCCGAGAAAAGCAAGTGAAACGCCACCAGTTTGGGATGGTCTTGTTTCTCCTCCCTGCCAACGCAGAGGCTGGGCTGGAACCCTTAGGTGACCCTGTACTGATACATCCCTGGCTTCCTGACATGTCCTTTATTTGCACATTTTTGATGGGCCTCTTCCCCCTGCTCTGTTATTCTGCTGAGACTCTATCAATTGTAGCTGTGGAGAGGTGGAACGAAGTGCAGGAGAAATCTGAGCTGGGATTTTTCAGCCTTTTAAATTGTGACAGCCTAGAAAACGCGTCCCGTATTTCACTGAGGAGACGGTCAGTCATGCCTGAGTCGCTGGGCTCTGGAGGAGCATCTTAGAGAAGAGCTTGAGCCTTAACCAGGCTCTGCCATGCTGAAAAATAGTAGCAATCCTTGAAGACATGCATTAATTTTGGCAGATTTGCCCCAGGAACAAGACAGAGAAGTTCCAGAACCTGCCTTTTAGTGGTGCATCTTGTTAAGGTTTTTATAGCTGCCAAGAGACTTTACGCACTTGAAACACTTGTTTTCTGTGTGCTGATGGGTCCTACCCGCGCCATTACCGCGTTCCTCTAGCTGGAGACGTGAAGCCTGGTGCTGCCGCAGCACTTCAGCCATAATTACTGCAGCTTCTCGTCTTTATCGGCTGCGCGGCTTCCCCATTTATTGTTCCCTTCTCTTCTGCTCCCATGAAATCTCTGCCGTGAATTCCCGTGTGCCTGGGCCGGGAGGTTGCAGCCACCAGAGGGAACTCTGGCAGTCACAGCGGAGCCGCTCTTGAGCACAATGCATTCCTTCCCTTCATACAACCCAAATTCCCCCAGCATCAGATGTGACCTGTATTTTGCTTATTCAGACTGGGACAGAATAGGAAGAACTTTCCCACAGCTGGGCTGCACAGGCAGCTCACCTATGGCGCTCAGCGGCCAGAACGGGTGGGTTTGTGCTCCGAAACGTGAAAAGGACCAGCGTTTGGCATTGATCGCTCTCTATTTTCATCAAATTCAGTGTCAGGTTAAGGACTCTTTCTGGGCGGAGCCCTCTGATGCATGAGTGTTGATGTGAACTTGGAACAAACCCGGCCGTCGCAGCGGGGAATCCCAGGTTGGCAGAAGGGCTGCGACTCTCGTGCCCGGGCACAGGGATGGCACTGCTGAAGAAGTCTAGGGCGTCGGGAGACAAAAAACTTCAGAGCGCTGAGGTTTATGGTCTGATGGACACGAGTTACATCCAGGCCCTGAACAGAGCTCTGTGATCTGTGGATGGGCTGGATTGGAACGTCCGGGCATGATCAAAATCTGCTTTTCTCTCCTAGGCGGCTGGAGGAGGAGGGCTGGGCAGAGGTCAGGAACCAGCTCCGGCAGTTCGCACGCACCACCCAGGTAAAGGTCTGGAACAGCCCATCTGAAAAAAAAGCTTACCCTTTACCCATGTGTCAAAGATGTGATGCCTCAGGTCGGCCAATATGCTGCTCCAGGCTGGAGCAGGGAAGCTTTCCATGGAGCCTTGCTGTGGCTTTGGCTTCATCCCACCAAGTGACGTGAGCAGGTCCCCGGCCGGTGATGTATCGAGGCTGTACTTTCCTTTCTAAAAGAAGGAGAGCAGCCCTTACCAGCTCAGCACTGGACCGTATTGCTCCCTCTCTTGTTTCAGCACAAGCATTTAGGCACCTGTATAACAAACTGGGACTATATTCAACCTGTTTCAAGTCCAGTTTGAATGTGAATCACCTTTCCAGTCTGGTTCCCCCTGCGTGCAAAGATATTTATGCCGCACTCGGGCACGGGGTGGCCCAGAGCTGGGAGGAGAGCGCTCTCCATCCACAACGCTGCTCTACAATACCTGTGAAACCGTGGTGATGCTTGGTGGGACTGGGCTTGGCTGAGGTGAGGTTTGCTGTCCCAGTGATGGCAACAGTGGGGAGAAGGGTTGGTGTTGGGATGCCTTCTACGCTGACTGCCACCTGGGGGCTTTGCAAACAGAGCAGAGGTTCAGCTTTCTGTGGTAGACAAGGCTACAGAGGTGCTACCAGCCCATCTTCCATGTTGTGCCTTCCTCTGTCCACAGCGACCTGAAGAAGGGCTTCACCTTTCTCTGGTCTCTTAGAGCTAAACACCTAAATTGTGCCTATCTTTGTGGCCAAAAGAAGGGAGGTGGCATGGCTGGGAGGCAGTCCCCAGTGGGAGCGGGGCCTGCCGGGGTGAGCTCGGTCAAGCACCTCAGATCCTCCTGGTGACACAGGGACTGTGCCGTTAACTTGGGCAAGGTGATGATGGGGCTGGAGGAAGGCTGGAGAGGGACTTTTTGCAAGGGCATGGAGTGATAGGATGAGGGGGAATGGCTTCAAACTGGAAAAGGGGACATTTAGATTAGATATCAGGAAGAAATTTTTCACTGTGAGGGTGGTGGGGCACTGGCCCAGGTTGCCCCGAGAAGCTGTGGCTGCCCCATCCCTGGAGGTGTTCAAGGCCAGGTTGGACGGGGCTTGGAGCAACCTGGGCTGGGGGGAGGTGTCCCTGCCCAGGGCAGGGGGGTGGGAACTGGATGGTCTTCAAAGTCCCTTCCAACCCAAACCATTCCATGATTCTGTGATTCTATGATCTACTGCCCAGAGACACTATGCAAAAACCAAGTGGTTTTTTTATCTAAAAGGGAAAGTCATTTCCCTTTGCAAAAAACTACTGGTGTGAAAGCTCTCTGGGTCTGCGTGCTGATTCTAGCGACCGCTCCGCCTGTTGTCTGTGAAGCCTCTGGGGCAGTTAACGATGGTTTTGGCAGGCAGGGGTTGCTGCCTGTCCTGGGCTGGCCCTGGCCCCCATGCCTGCGCTCTGGCCAGGAGAGGCTGCCCACTCTGTCCGGCCGATGCCCAGGAGCGGCGGTGCCTGCAGAACACTGTGCTAGTGTCACCAGGCTCCTTTCCCCACACACATCAGTTTTCGATTGCTTTTGTAGCCCAACGCCAAGCGGTGCCGGAGCTGAGTGATGGGGAAGCGGTCAGTCTCGCCTGGTGGAGCGTGACTGAGCAACGTCACTCCCATCTCACAGCGCTCCCTGTTTTCTCCGTGTTTCCTTGCCTCTCCAGGAGGATTTGGAGCAGGAGAGGAGCCAGCTGCTGGCTCGGGCGGTCGTGGCAGAAGAGCAGGTGTCGGAGCTGCAGGAATACATAGATAAGCACCTTGCCAGGTGAGATAGTAGCATCCCCCTTCACGAGTTCTCTGCTTTGTGCTCCGGGTTTATCTCCCAGGCTAATTGCCGGCGACATCACTGGGCCTGCCACGCTGTTGGCTCCTGACCTCACTGCTGCCTTCCCACGGCGCTGCCGGCACGGCTGATGTCCGGTGCCACGTCCAGCTGTGCGGGCAGCTGCCACCATCCCTTGCTCCGCGGGGGCAGGAGGGGCAGCGTCTGGCCTGCTCCACGGCACGTCTCCTTCCCTGTGTGCTCACCCATCCTTTGGAGGAACCTAAGAAAGGGATTGCCTAAAATCTAAAGCCTTCCAGCCTGCCCTGAGCTATGCTCCTCTCTCCTTGGCAAATCACGCCCCGAAGCGGAGAGAACAGCTGCTCGGGCAAGGAAGGGTGAGAACAAGCAGGGCACGTCTGTTGGAGCAATGGTCCAACTCTGCACCCGCCGTAACGCCCCAACCAGCTCGGCTGTGGTCTCGGGTCAGACTCGCAGCCTTGTCGCTGGTACCATTGCCTGGCAGAGCTGACAAACCCCTCTTCCTTGGGAAAAGGCTGCGGTTTTCTATCTGCCGGGGCTCAGGTCCCAGCGCGGCTCGGTGCCTGGGCTGGCTGCTCCGCGTTAACTGACACCGTGTGCCCGCAGCATGCAGGAAACACCAGGCAAAATGTACATTTATGTTTATCGCTCCTGTGTGCGAGCTATCGGTGGGATTGTGACCACGCGGGCAACGACGGTGCTGCTCCCTCCTTGCAGGTACAAGCAGGAGATCCTCCAGTTGAGGAAGGTCGCTGGCAGCGAGGTGCCACGCGCCCTCAGTGCTGGGGTGGCCGATACTCACTCGCTGCCCAGAGCTAGAAGGACCATCAGCCACCAACCGTAGCTCTCCACCACAGCTCTGAGAAGCGCCACAATCACAGGAAAGAGCAGGATTTAAAAGGAGAGGGCTTTCTGGTGCGTGGGCTGGCTGGGGCGAGTATCCTTCCCCGGCTGAGAGCTGGGAGGCACAGTGAGGGAAACCACGTGGGTGTTCTCAGTCTCAAATTAACAGTACTAAAACAGGATGAGACAACTGCGTCTCATCTATCCTCTGGCCCCTCAGCTGGAGGAATTCTGCTGGTTCCCCGAGCACATCGCGCCTCGGGACATGAGGTCAGGTTCCCAGGCAGCTTTTTACTGCCGAGCTGCAGGGACAGGTTCCCGTTCCTGCCATAACGTTTCCCCTGGGTCAGACCTGGACCGGAGTCCAACTCTGCTCCCGCCTTTCCTCCCCTCTCAGCTTCCAAGACATAAGGGCTGGTTCAAGCTAGACTTCAGTCCAAGAAGTCAGACAAAGGGGATGAGCTGCTCTTTTATGGTGGGAAAACCTTTTTTTTCTCTGTGTTTGAGTGGAAAAGGGAATGTTATCTAAGGTGAGCAGGGCCAAACTGGACAAAATTCCCTCCTGAGCCGCTGTCAAAGGGATGGCGGAGCAAAGCCTGAGGCCGGGAGCGGCGGCGGCTCCGGCTCCAGGAGCACCCTGCTGCTCAAAGGCAAAGCAAAGGTCTCGAGGGAAGAACCATCCAAATGTTTATTGTGAAAAATTAACTAGAAAATAAAGTAGCAAACATACAGAAAAGAGGCACTGGAGATTTAGCCCTTAAATCCTGTGATAATTCCAGGATTTCTAGGTTGGCTTTTCCTCTCTTTTGCTTCCCCCAAAGCGCCCGCTCTTTGGCAGACGAGGAGGGACCACCACCCTGCAAGTCCCTGGGCCAAAAGCTTGGCCAAGCAGCCTTCTCGCTGCTGTCCTGAGCTGAGCCCGAGGGCCGGAGAGGCTCTGACCCCTACCGCTGCTGACCCTGAATGCCAGGCTTAACGAGGCCGTCGTTAGACGGGGCTTCCCTCCGCGCTGCTCTGTGCTGCTCGCCGCACCTCCTTCATGTCATAAGCCCAGACCTGCTCCAGCCCCTGCCCCAGGGTGCTGGTGGGGGTCCAGGAGGGGAAAGGGAAACGTCCAGCCACCACCCGGGCTTCGTCGGGGAGTTCTGCGAGGAGCTTGGCGGCTAGGGGAGGTTTCTGGGGAGAGAGAGACAGCCACGGCCAGGCGGCCTTAAGAAAAGTCCCGTAGTGGCAGTGCCACCAGGGAGAATAGGGCAGCTTCTCGGCACGGCTGCTGGGTCCCAAGAAGATGACGTCAACCGAAGACCCTTCCAAAACGCAGGGCTGGTGCTAGCCCTGCGTATGGTTGGGAGCAGGGTCAGCTAACAAGCGATAAGACAAGAGGAAACGGTCTCGAGTTGCGGCAGGGGAGGTTTAAGATGGATATTAGGAAAAATTTCTTCACCGAAAGGGTTGTCAAGCGTTGGAACAGGCTGCCCAGGGAAGTGGTGGAGTGGCCATCCCCGGAGGGAGTTAAAAGACGTGTGGACGTGGCGCGTAGGGGCATGGTTTAGTGTGGACTTGGCAGTTCTGGTTTAACGGTTGGACTCAATCTTAAGCATTGTTTCCAAACTATATGATTCTATGATTCTATAAATCGGAGCGGTGCTGAGCACCAAACCGCTCGCTCGCAGCAATGCCCGCTCGGCCTTATTTTTTAAAGAGTCTTCGCCACCATCCCAGACCGTCTCTCTGTTCTAAGGAAACCCTCCCTCGAGCTCGCTCAGAACAAGTTGGGGCGCGAGGGACCGACTTACCACGCTGGGGGCCAGGAACACGATCACATTGTGGCAATCGGAAAGATTCACCTTAAAAAAAAAAAAAAAAAAAAAAAAAAAAAAAAAAAAAAAAGAAGAAGGAAATGGGGAATGAAAGAAGCAACAGGGAGAGGGGGAGCTGGGGGGGGAACTGTTTGAGTGGCCCAACACCTTGCGGGCGATCTTCTGAACCTCAGAGGAAGGAAAGATGCCCCACAACGTGTGGGACGGGGTTGTGCTGGTGTGACTGGGAGGTGGGTGTGAAAGCAGCGCCTCTTGCAAAACATCTGCCTCCAGCATCGTCCCAGAACTACATTCCCTGCTGGCTTTTCTCCGGTGGGGCTGTGGGTACCTGGTGCCAGCTTTAGCAGCATGTCTCTGAAGGCCACCATGCACCAGCAGCACCTAAGACCTCTTCTCAAAGCTGCTCTAAGAAGGACCGCTGCCGCCTGCACAACCAGCAGCCAGCCATGGGCTGACGTTCCCCTGGAAAAAGGATGATTTTTCCACCTCTTGGGAGCAGCGTGGCTTGGGGAAGGAGCAAGCGACCGTGGGCAAAGCCTGGCCAGAGGTGAGGACCGAGCCCTGGCCCTGCCCTAGCTATGGCCAACGCTGAGCACAGCCAGACCCTCGGGATGCCGTTACCTTCCACAGATCTTTCTTCAGGAAGGAAACCTTCCCGTGGTACCCAGCCTTCCAGGCCCGGTAGTTGGAGAGACACAGCAGCCAGGGATTGAGCTCATAGCCAACGGCTGGTCTGAGACCTTGCTTATAAGCCTCTACCACCTGGAGAGAGGGAGAGAGAGAGTTGCAACTGAAATCAACCCAGGTGTTGAGTTTGGGGGACAATTTGGGGGGCCAGGGGCTGTTGCCCAGCTCCACTCGCTCCCTCCTGCTGGCTCATGGGCAGGGTGACCTCGATCCTCGGCACTTTCCCCTAGGCTCTTTCCCCCTAGATTTGTTTTTCCCACCCTGCTCCCTGCGTGTGATGCCTTCTAGGACTGTCTAGGACCATCAAGGGTTGTCTATAGGGCTTTTTAGGACCATCTAGAGCTGTGTAGAGCCTTCTAGGCTTGTGTAGGGCCATCTAAAACCATCTAGGGCTGCCTATAGGGCCTTCTAGGACCATCTAGGGCTGCGTAGGGCCTTCTAGGGTTGTCTATAGGGCCATCTAGGAATGTGTAGGGCCACCTAGAACCATCTAGGGCTGTCTAGGGCCTTCTAGGACCATCTAGAGCTGTGTAGGGTTGTCTATAGGGCAGCCTAGGGCTGCATAGGGCCTTCTAGGGTTGTCTATAGGGCCATTTAGGGCTGTGTAGGGCCATCTAAAACCATCTAGAGCTGCCTATAGGGCCTTGTAGGGCTGTATAGGGCTTTCTAGGTCCATCTAGGGCTGTGTAGGGCCATCTAGGGTTGTCCATGGGGTAGTCTAGGGCTGCACAGGGCCTTCTAGGGCTGTCTGTAGGGCCATCTTGGGCTGTTTAAGGCCATCTAGAACCACCTAGGGCTGCCTGTAGGGCTGTATAGGGCTTTCTAGGAGCATCTAGGGCTGCGTAAGGCCATCTAGAACCATCTAGGGGTGTCTATAGGGCCATCTCGGGCTGTGTAGGACCATCTACGGGTGTCTATAGGGCCTTGTAGGGCTGTATAGGACCCTCTAAAACCGTCTAGGGCTGTGTAGGACCATCTAGGGGTGTCTATATGGCCTTGTAGGGCTGTATAGGACCCTCTAAAACCATCTAGGGCTGTGTAGGACCATCTAGGGGTGTCTATAGGGCCTTGTAGGGCCATCTAGGACCATCTAGGGCTGCCTATAGGGCCTTGTAGGTCTGTACAGGGCTTCCTAGGTCCATCTAGGGCTGTGTAGGACCATCTGGGTTTGTCTATAGGGCAGTCTAGGGCTGTGTAGGGCCATCTAGGGGTGTCTATACGGCCTTGTAGGGCCATCTAGGACCATCTAGGGCTGTCTATAGGGCCATCTTGGGCCGCGTAGGACCATCTAGGGGTGTCCATAGGGCCTTGTAGGGTTATCTAGGACCATCTAGGGCTGCCTAGGACCACCTAGGTTGGTCCAGGACCACAGCTAGGAGGACCATCCGGAACCACAGCCAGAAGCCAGGGGGTGGGTGGTGGTGGTGACGGTGGTGGGGTCCCACCTGCCTGCCTGGTGAGCGTAGCCCCCCTCCTGCCCTTCGCCCGCCCCGGGGGCAGCCCCGAGTCCCCCCAACCA